TAATCTCCTATTTAAGGAGCTGTGAATTGGGAATAAAAGCATTCAGTTTTCCAGTTAAGAGAAGAGTGAGGAGAGTTCGGGTGGTCTCTTGGACAAATCACCCATTCGGTTGCCACAATAGGGTCTGCATGCAAGGGAAGGCGCAAGGGGAAGCAAGAGGTTCTCCCCGTGGACCGACCCGTGACGAGATCCTACTCCCGGGCCCATAACACAATCACTCCCCTCCTTTTTCCCCTTTTAAAGCTCAGTTCTTCAAACAAAACCAGCTGTTGTTACAGAACTAACAGGTCATCACCGGCCTACCATAAATCAGGTATGGCTGCTGTCGCAGCATGTACAGGTCCTCTCTTGACCTACAAATCAAGTGTGGCTGCTGTTGCAGCATATACAGGTCATCCCTGACCTACAAATTCATCAGAAGGCTGCTGTCACAGCATATAAAGGTCATGTCCGACCTACAGTTTGTTACAGGGATCAGCCAATCCCACAAAAAAGGAAAGGAAGTGCTGCTCACCGCACATTAACTAACTGAACCTATTACAGGTTCTGTTCTGGCACATGACCAGAAAAAATAAAAAAAAGAGAAAGGGAGAGAGAGTACTTCAGTCCGATGCAGAAATGAAAACTGGATCTGGATCTTCAATAAATCTCACTGTAGCTGGCGAAGGAAGAAGACAGAAAAGGTTTGCTCGATCTCTTCTTTCAGATCTGACAGTCCCGCTCTGATACCATGTTGTCCAGAAGAGAAGAAGGAAGAAAGGAAGAGAGAAGAAAGAAAAGAGATTTGGAGTCTTAAAAAGATGCTAGCGGCGCCAACTTTTTATTATTTATACTAGGGCGACACAACTTAAAATAAAAGATGCTGGAAGTACCAAAGTACCCCTGCGGTACTAAACTTACAGAATAATAACCTTTCAACAGATTGTATTCGTAAGTTTTTCAATTCAATTTCATTGTCTAATACAGAGTCATGCAGTCACTGTCATAATGCTAATAAAAAATGAGTTTGTTTCCTAGAGTTCCAAAATGTATCTGTATTGTTGTAAACTAAGAAAAGTGCATATTTTCCATTGGTTTTCAATGTTGCATAATGTATGTGTAATATTGTTATCTAAATTCCAATTAGGTATGAAATTATAGTGTGTTCTCATTTGTACCACAAATCACAGTACACATACAACATGTCTTGGAAGGGTAATGCACATGAGTGGTTTTACTGCTTTTAGCACGTTTCTTGTATAAAAATGTTTCCATGAGGCATGGAACCTCTATAATTCAACCAATGAGTTCAAATTGTAAAAGTAATACTATGAAAAAAATAATACAGTAATATACATGTTCTCCATCAAAACTTATGACAATCTCTTTGGTGAGCTGTGAATTTCCATCAGCCCACACAGATCTTGTAGAACAACCCTATACTATCTTACCATCTCCTGAAAAGAAAACTCTGATTTTGCAAAATTACCCCCTAACCAACTTAATATAGTCCTTGAAGGCTGCATTTGTTTCCAGTGCAAAAACAAATATGTACCATTCAAAATTCCTTCTAACTGGTTTAATTTTGTACTAATAAATTTTGAATTTCAACCAAACGGTTTTTGGTTGTAATGAGTACAAACATGGGTTCCAAGAGTAAAACTCATCTTTTTTTTCTACATTTACCAACCATGAGTGCAAAGTTTGTATCCAAAAAATTGATATAAACTTTGTATTCAATTGTGAGTGCAAACATATCTTGAAAGTTGTGATAGCCGTCATTATCAGTACACAAATGTATGCTTAATAAGTGCTTGCAAAACTGAACCAGAGTACATTTATGCATTGAACTGGCATTTGCACTGCAAACAAACGCAGCCCATATGAACCATTGAAAATTGAAAAGATGCTATTAAGTTGAATTTCGGCAGTTTCTAATAAATTACCATATGGTACTTGCATTCCTTAAATCTCCCTCCACTACCAAGGAATGATCTGTACAGCTATCACTTCTTAACAAATGTATCCCATGGTACAGTAGTACTTTGGTGGGAATTGCACATGCTTTTCGTATTCTGTCTACTCTGTATGTGACTTTGAGAGTTCTGTAGGTTTTCTCAGGACACAAGGAATCTGTACAGCTATCACTTCTTAATAAATGTATCCCATGGTACAATAGTACTTTGGTGGGATTTGCACATGCTTTTCATATTCTGTCTACTCTGTATGTGACTTTGAGAATTCTGTAGGTTTTCTCAGGACACAAGGAATTATTGGAGAGTGGACTTTGTGATGTAGTGATTGTATCAACTCCAAACATGACTCACTATCAAATCCTTATGGATATCATCAACCACCCAAGGCCCCATCATGTACTTGTGGAGAAGCCATTGTGCACAACAGTTGCAGATTGCAAAAAGGTCGAGCATATGTGGCTATTATTCTATGGTGTTCTAACTCCATGATATAATTATCTTTCCTTGCTTTATTTACTTGAATCATATTAAATGGAACATGAAGTCTATCACTGTTAATTATCTTGTTCTTTGTAGTTAGTGATATTGACTATAACATACACTACCTAACCTGAATTTGTGCATCACCCTCCACATTTTCCCTATATTTGAAAACTGAAATTAGAAAACTCTAGCTAGGATATACAATGGGAAGTTGAGAATTTGAGATGTCTTTTCCATTCATCCCCTCTTGATATGCACATTCCATCATTTCTTTTTTCTTTTAATTGACAATTTTATTATTTCTACATTGTAAACAAAAAAACTAATTGCACATAATTGAAAATTTTGTATCTTGACTGTCAGAGTGGACATCTCGTTCTGCTGGAGCAGACAATTGGGTTGGGAATGGATGGGAAATTTTTGATTGGATCTCAGCCCGTCTGGGTTAGCTTGTTGGGTATCTAAGGGTTTTGTTGCATTGCTCAAGCTTGGTCTGTGGTGTTTGGCCTAGGTTCTTGACCATCTTGTTCTGATGATCTTATCTTCTCTTTTATTTCTCTTTTCTTCTGATTTTGGTATTAATAAAGTTGCCTTTACTAGTACAAGAAATAATAGTGAAATTTGCTTAGGTTTTAAAATTTCCTGATATAATTGCTAAGGTACTTAGACAACATCAATTTGGTTATAGGGAAATCCTTGCTGCAATATCCCTTTTCTCAAGGGTTTATTGTATTGTCATTGGATAATCTTAATGTTTATCTTGTAGTTTTGATCGACCTATTCAAATCTTTAGTTCTAAGAACAGCCCTCCATCGTTCCCACACAGTCCTCTAAAGTCAAGGCAGGTAAGCCTGAAGGTAAGGGAATGGAGTTCGTGCAGGCAGGTCAGTGGAGGAGATCCTTGAAGRTAGAAGCAAAAAATYTCCTGTTCGAAGAGATGAGAATCAAGGGGAAGGTAAGCCTGAAGGTAAGGGAAGCGAAAAAGGGTACAATATTGCTGGAAGGATTAGAAGTGATCGAGTGGCTAAGAGAGTTCATAGCTGGAGCCTATTCAAAAGGTAAGCAGATAA